CATTTCAATTTCAACTTGGTAAAAAGAAATTCTAATCATCATAGATGTTTTGATTATTATTCTTTTTTATATTGATGAATAGGATATTTACTATATGAACGTGGGTTTAAAAGAAACAATTTCATGAATTAATACAATCATTCGAAAAATTTCCATATATTTATATTCAAATAAGTAAATATCAACTTGATACATTTATATATGAAAAATTACTAACAACATATTTAATACAGAAAAAATATGCAGTAAGTCAGAAGAAACAAAAAAAAAACAAGTTTTCTTTTTTGAATTCAGTAGAGTTTCTTTAGAAATCAAATGAATTATTCAACAAAGAATCATCAAATATTTATAATTTAAATTCTATTGTTTATAAATTAATGATGAACAAAAGTTTAAAACTTCTACTTGAATGTTCAGTAGCTATGTAAAAAACAAAAAAAGAAGAAGTTTCTTTTTGTGATTTTTTTTATTTCGTTAATAATATTCATTGTGCCTTTTTGTTTTTACTTTCTAGAGTAGAAAAATAAGGAAATGTAATGAAAACATTGAATATTTATCTAGAGTAAATTTAGATCAATATGTTTATATGAATGATTCATTATACTTGCTTTTGTTTTTTTAGAATGAACGATTCACAAATATTTCAATTAATTAATCGTAAATAACTTTATCGAAATATTTTGTCTAATATTGAAAAACTTAGATTAATTTGATAAAGAAGTACGTTTGATAAATTTAAATTTAGAAAAACAAAAAACATAAGAATAACAACAATTTCAAACATGAGGATAAGAACACATGATTTACATATGATTATTACAAAACTAATAGAACAAAAAAGCTCTTATGTTTAAAAGTTAAAGTCTTGTTTAGATTTGACTTTTTGAATTCGATCTAAAAACTTGATATTATTTATTTATGTTCGATAAGACATTAATAACAGTCTTTAGATCTGATGATCTCTACATCACTTTTCTAAGATATGAAGAAAACAAAGTAGAACTCTTTTTTGCAAGCATGTCTAACAGAGAAATACAAAGTTGTGCATAACCTTTTATTTGAAAAGTATTCAAGTTCAAACACCAAAAAATATAAAACGAAAATTCTTTACCAAATGATAGCCTGTCAATAGCAGTATTTAACAGTAGAATTCATCATTCATATGACTAGAATAATTCATAGAATTAGGAAAAGTTTCAAAATTTTAAGAATATAACTGGACATTTTCATGGATAGTCAACTACAAAACCTGAAGCTTTCAGAATTACTTTATTTACGTAACTATGATCTTTTTAGAGCTCAATTTGCTCATCATATATTGGTTCAGAAAAAAACTGTTTAAATTAGATCAATAAATAATGATGTTAGAATCAAAATGCTTCGATTGATATAGCTAAAATATTGTTGAACATACATATATCTCTAAAATTTTGAAAGTTTTCATAATTGAATAGCTTATTCTCGTCTTACATCTTACTTTTGGCAAATTTTCATTTGTTATGAAATTCACTTTGATATGTTATAGAGTTTGAACTGTACACCTCATCTCTCTAGCAAAAGATTATGCACAATCCTGTCTATGAAACACTGTTTATTCGATAACTATTACATTCAATGTTATGATTGAAAGTTTTTAAAGTATTTCATCAAAAAAAAAGAGAAAATATTGTAGTAATCTCTTATCAATTATTATTTGAGATAACAAATATTATGTACAATTCATCACTTAATTTGAAGTATAAAATATACAACAATCTGTCTATTCTAATAGATTTATCCGTACTTTACAGTAAGATGATAAGATATGCAATCATTTCTAAGTTGTGTGAATTGTTACTAAGCTATTTTAAAATGATATTAATCGATTGATTCATAACAATCAAAACTAAAACTTCATCTACATACATCGTATTAGGTCGATTTGTAAAACTCGAGTTATAAGAATCGTTTAGAATTTTAATTTTCTCGAAAGTTTTCTTTCCTAAGTTTTTGTTTTACAGTTGACTGCGGTTCATCTATTGACTAATCATATGAACAAATTACTTGTAAGTATATATAAACTATAATTTGATTATTTTAATTGTATAAAATATTAGGTTTAGATTAGTTTGTAATGTATTACAAGATAGTTTTCGATATTTTAATGCTATTTGTTTAAATTTCATAATAGAAGAATTTAATGATTTTCTTTTTTTTCTTCATAGTATCTTGATGAAATCTGTTCAAAAAATTTCAATAATTCTCGTGATTTTCATACAAAATAAGTATCATTCAATGCTGATTATAAACCTGATAAATTAATGAAATTTTGATGTAAAACAAGAAATTATAATTTACAAGAAGTACTAGCTATTTGTGATAAAAAAAAAAAAACAGAACTATATAATGAAACTCATTTTCTTTGTGGTATGAATTTGATTTTTTTTTTTCGTCTAAACAAATTGAAATATATATATGTATATGTTATAGGACAAGCAAGAAATAGATGTGTTTCATAACAAATAATTCTCGAAAAATGAAATAATATTGAAGAAGTCCTACGATTTTTTGAATAGTGTCACATATCCAAAATTTTGGAGATGCGCCCACATCTCTCGCAGGAGATGCCGCATCTCCCGCGGGAGACGTGGAATCTCCTTCAGGAGACGCGGTCATTTTCCACTGGAGATGTATCATCTCCTTTAGAGATGCACATCCCCCGCACCCAAACTCACATCTCTCGCAGTAAATGCCGCATCTCCCGCGCTAGACGTAGATGTATCTCCAAAATTTTGGATATGTGACACTGCTGTTGATCATACTATCTGGTTGTTCGACCTGGGTATATGTCCACAAAAAATTTCAGCTCAATCCATCTTGCCGTTCTTAAAATATGGGCCTGTCAGGACTTCCCTTGACTGAAGTGCTGATTATTAGTACTTTTCATAAAACTACCATAAAAAAATCAATAGTTCAATATTTTTCCAAAACGGCTTGCGTCAAAGTTCATAAAACTCTTCCCTCTATAAGAATATTCTAAATTGAGCAAAATCTGAAGACCTCGTTTGAGCAGCTCCGATCGTGGCTTATGTGGAATGGCTCATAGCTTTTTATATGATACATATCAACAAAAACTAGTTTGTTTATCTCATATGTTTGAAATAGTTGAATAAATTTTAAAAAAATTTGTTGTAAATTCATAATTAATGATATATAATTATACAAGTGATATATTATGTTATATAAATTATTCGAATTAGATAGAATAGAGTTAAATAGTATATGTGTATGAGTTTTTCATATTTTGTTCGGTAGAATTGATTGGTAAACCTGTAACAATAACTTAAACGTATTTTCATATCTTGAAATGTCATCTATCAATTATCAATTTTTTTTATTATCCTTTGCGATCATCTATGACAGTCATTTATTTATTGTTTTTTTTAGTTCTAATGCAACATAGTTACGCCAGTGAAATTCCAAGTACTATCTTTGAATACCTTTGCAGTGATACAACTTTTTTTTATAGTTCATCTTGGAATTACAATGACGAATTTTCAGCTATGATGAACATTTCTGGTATTGAATGCCTTCTACTTTTTTTTTTCTGTGTTTTTGTTAATATCTAAATTATATTTATGTCTTATTGATTAAACAGATGAATAAGAAAGTTGTTGAAAAGATTAGTAATATATAAAGGTTAATTTGATATTCAATCCAAGAAATTTGATATAAATGTCCAATGTGGGATTATATTTGTTATAATCATTAGATAAAATCTTTTTCGCAGATAGGGCTTAATCAAAAATTTGATATTGGTTGAATAAAATACTTACAGTGCTGGTCAATAATCCCAATCTTTCTGCTCTCAAGTGCAGTTACTATAGGCACGAGCTACAATGAAATTATGATAGATACCAATCATGTTTCATATGAATCTCATAATCCAAGAAAAGTAAGATATTTTCAGTCGATCAATATATCATTCTGTAGTACTTTATCACAACCAATCTACAGTATAAATTTTACTGAAGTTCGTTGAGTCGTTGAAGAATTTCAACCATTTTACTGTAATCATCGATATGCAAGAAAAATTTGTATTATCCTTGTAAGATCTATCACTCAGTGAATGTTGAAATTTATCTGAAATTTTCAGGAAGTGTTTCCTAATAGTTTTCTATTATATCCTGAAAGTTTCAGAAGTAAACATTGTACTAGGAAGAAATGAGACACTGATAACCATTGAGTCATTGTCAAGGTCCCAGGAACTTCAGTTCTCAAGCAAATGTTTTAATTTTTTTATAGCAAAGAAAGAGCATGTTTTAGGTGTGAGTGTGAATGCGGGTATTGATTAAGCGAAGATCTTTACACTTATACCCTCACTCACATCCTAGTCGAAGTGTGGCATGTTTGGACTATGCTAGCTATAATTTTTTCGAAGCTACTTAACCATGCTATCTGTTCACTTACAGATACTACCTTGCTGTGATCACTCAAGTATTTCAGGTGCTTCTTGTAGCGTCCCAGATAATATCTGCAGCATCTCAGGAGATACTTGTAGCATTCCAGGAAATACATGTAGCGTCTCAGAATAATTCAATATTTGAATAGTCAAAATAGCTTATCAATAATTGGATTCAACTTTCGAGTTTGAAACTACTGTTTTTTTTTTCAGGAAACTCGTATAGAATTTATTATTACTAACGTATAAAAACATAATTAACGTGTACCAATAATATAAGTATTTTATCAATAAGAATTTTATTCGACTAATAGTAGCATTTATTACTTTGTTGTTTATACCAAAAACAACCTTAACATGATATTGAAAAACAAAAAAGTCTATCATATTAATCAATTCATTATAGTATAATAATTGTCAATGTTACATGAAATCATATATTGCATATTTATATATGAAAATATATAATAATATTCCTTCTGATTAATATGTCACTTCTATGAAACACAATTAATCTTGATGTTTTTCTTCCTTATTATGAATATTATTAACAATATGATCATTCTTTTTTTTTTGATAACCAATTGTTAAATTTTAACCATTGATTCTTCAAATATTCATCGAAATTTGGCAATAAATATTGACCAATAATCATAACAAAACCGAATAAAATTAAAATACATTCCAACAATTGAAGAGTCCATTCATTATTTATGAAGTTGATATAAAATATGAATGTCAACATTATTCCCATTACTATAATTGCCAATCGATATGCATTATATAAGCCATAGAGCAAATAGATATCATATAATATTGTTAAAATCACCACTATTTTTCCTAATTTTAATGAAAAACTATAATGATGACATAATTCAACTTTTGGAAAAGTTGAAAATTCTGGATATTCATTGATAAGTTGAGAACAATTTGATCTGATGTATTCGAATATTTTCGATTTATTTTGTTTAATTGGATCGAAACGCAACATGGCCCAATCCAGCTGTTGTGAATGTCCATAAAATATTCCTATTGAAAACAAAACCATTAATGCTATCAATATATTGACCAAAATTAGGATTAGATATGAATCAGTAGACAATCGTTCAGACATGAATCTACAATTGAAAGAAAAATATCTAATAAAGAAAAATCACGTTATATATTAACTTTATACTTTAAATGAATACTTTTTTCATATGAATCAATGAAACAAATCAAATACACAAAAAAAAAAAGAAAAAATCAATATAAAAAATATATTGGATCGTGACGTAAGGACAAATTAATCTGTATTTATGTGTTTCTCATTATGTATTTTATCATACATTTGACCATTATTATCTTTTGATCAGCAGGATTTTTAACAATTGCTTCTTCAAATGTTCATCGGAATTTATCAATAAATATTGATGAAAAATTATATAAAATCGACCAAAATTAAGGCTGACTTTAATAGTTAAAGAGCCAATTTATCATTTGTGAAGTTGATATAGAATATGGAAGTTCACGTTTTTTCCATTATATTGACTGGTAAATAGTAGAAATAGACTATGACGTGCATAAAATTAACACATATTATATGAAATTGACAAAGTACCACCACTTTCCTTAATTTCAATGATAAACTATAATTTTCACATAGTTCCATAGTTCAATTTGTGGAGAAATATATAATTCTGGATACTCGAACGAACAGTTGTGAACAATTTAATTTGATGTAGTCGAATATTTTCAATCGATTCTATTTAAACGAATGCAAACGCAACAGGACGTTATCAATTTTTTCGAATGTGCATAAAGGATTTCCATGAAAATTGTAGCTGTTAATCTTAATAATTGAAGAGTTTGTTAATCATTGGTTTAGTCTACATAGAATAAAGATGCCGATGTTATTCCATCATGATGACTTGTAATATTAATAGATCATAGAATACATAAAAAAAAAAGAACTAAAGGATGTTCTAACAGTTTCGAGCTCTCCTTATAAATTGAACTTATCTATATGCATACATATGTAAATAGTTGACTGAAATACAAGTTTTTATAGAGACAAATTAAAGGTATCATTTGAAAAGAAAAATAGTTCAAATTCCATCGAAATCATAAAAACTTATGGTTGCATTAATAATCATGACTAACGAGGAAAGATATCAACTTACAGATGCTGTTCTACTTCATATTATGACTACGAGATAGGCCTCTATGATATTAAGAAAAAATTAAAAGAATTCGGATCCATAGCCTATTGGTGAAGAATTATGGTCGTTTTACTGAATTTTGGGCCTGTGACAAGAAATTTTCGAAACAATCGAATATAAGAATTTCGATCAGAAATTTTTCTCATAGATAGATCTAATCATTCTTAGAATCGCCTGAAAGTTTCAGTCAAAACAAATGTTCGTTTCTCGAAATATTGAGTTTTCAAATAAACTTGATGTTTTGCGACTTGTCTTTGAAAAGTGACTATTTTTTGAAAATTTAATATCTCGAAAAAGAAACTTTCGTTTTGACTGAAACTTTCAGGCGATTTTAAGAACCATTATACCTATGTATGAACATAATTTCTGGTCAAAATTTTTTAATTCGACTGTTATCAGAAATTTCTCTTAGTCTCATAGAGATCTACCTTGTAGCCGTAATATGGAGTAGAATGACTTTCATAAGTTGGAAACCTTTTCTCATCAGTATTTTACATTTAACATTTTTCTGCGGAAAAAATGTATTATAGTAAATTTTGATTGATCAAAGTCGAACAGACTATTAATTTCTAGATATCTTTGGATGGTTTGATAGAGTTCGATAAACTCTAGAAGAATATGAATATTAAAAAAAAAGTGCTGATCTTGTTTTCAATACAAAACTTGAAAGAAACTAGAAAGATTAATAAAAAATATCACATATCTTGCATTATATGGTATGTTTAACTTTCAATAACTTTAGATCATCGACTTTTAATTGATATTTCAAGATACAATATCACATACTGAAAGCTAAAAATATTTTTTTCGAACTGTTTGAACAGACTGAACAGTTGATCAAGTAAAGTTATTAAAAGTTCAGCTGACTCTCATAATGGTTGATACGCGACATTTTCATTAGTCTTTTCGATTTATTCAAACTTAATTTATCATTCAAAACATGGTCAGAATATTTTCAAGTACTTTTATTCTGATAGAACTCATCAAAAACTATCAGACCATATAAAAATATCTAGAAAAGAGTATTTGACTTCAGACGTGACATACATTTTTTATTTTCTAAAAAAATTTAAGATGCAAAATACTTAATCATGATCAATAAAGTAATTATAAACTTTTATGATGTCAATTCAATTCGAACAATTTTCTTTTCAGATCTTAGCTTTAATGTTTCTCTACAAAATCGTGTATTTCATTCAACTATTTACCTATATATGCATATAAATAACATCAATTTACAGAGAAGGTCCTAAATTTTTAGAAAAATCCTATATCATATATATTGATAAAAGCCAAGTTAACCTATACACAATAATCATCTGTCAAATAAAACCTGTATACTTTTCTTCTTTATAAAATATAAGTAGCTAAAATACCAGCTGTTGATCTTGAACATCATATCTGTCTACTTTAACATTTCTTTTTTGTTTTTCACTTCTAATGCATATTAATAGTTAGTACATTTATCATCAATTTGTGTAAATGGATTTGTTAGAAAAAAAATCCTACTTCAAAATAAAGATGATGTAATGACATTGTTGTTGTTATTTGTTTTTTAGGTGATTTTGTTGAATTTAACTATTAATATGTAAAATCTTCTGATAAATCTTCAATAAGTAAACCAAAATATTTTCTCTCGGTTGATAAATTCCAATAATCAAAGATTTCATTTAATAAATTATTTCCTTTTCAATGATGCTAAACAACAAAAATAAAACTTTGATTTTCTTGTTTCAAATCTATTTAACTTAAATTAATATAAAATTTCGTTCAATATGATCAAGAGCATGTAAAATAACTGAATAACAGTGATGGATATTTTCAAATTCACGTAAATTATATGAACGATATCTTGATAGTTTATTACTTGGTAAACATTTCAATGATATTACATGACGAACTAAATATGTTTTATTTGTTCCTATATTAAATAGATGTGCCGAAGAAAATGATGATTCAGTCGTTGATTGTGATGACGATAAAGATCATTAATTATTATTGCTGTTGATGAAAGAACAATTTCTTTTTTATTGTTCAATCTCGTAAAATTTTTTTCTTTCATAGTAATATCAATCTTGAATAAAGAAAGAATGAATTCAATTAACTATGAATAAGATTAGATAATCAATGATCCGGTCAAGCAAACATCTTAGAGCACTCAAATCAATATTTAGGATAGAAATGATTCAGTGTAAGAGAAAGAAATGTTTAAAAGCTCATTGACCTTTTCTTTTATTCTTATTACGAATATGGTAAAGAAAGAATGAGAACAGTGAGAAACAGAAGATTTCATATGCTGCCAGCTAATTATTAAGCTGTAAGCGGTTTTTTTTCTTGCAATTATTGTTAAGATGGCTTACTTCTCATGAAGAAAACTGACTACTGATACGACTTTCTATCCTGTCAAATGCATTTACGAGAAAAGATTCCCAAATGATCCATCGCTTTTGCTCCCATATTTTGTCCATAAGTAGGAGACCTGTAGATTAGAAAAAGCCAAAGAGAATATCTGTCCATGTTCTGATGTGGCTGAGATATTCAAATTTTACTTAAATTTCCCTGGAGGATCCTGATTTTCCAAAAAAATCGTGTTTTCGAATTTTGACCTGAAACTTTGCCCACATAAAGCCTTCAATTAGACTAGCTTGTGAAAAAAAAATATCAGAATTTTTTGGCATAGTACTACCACCGAGATATGAGCTTTTCAAAATATTCATGTTTTATACAATATCTATGAAAAAGCGCCTATATTTTGGAAAATTAATATCTCGGCAATGTTAACACCAGACAGGAAAAAAATTCAATATTCTCAACAACAAAATAGAATCTAAAAAAAACTAAATCATTACTTTTGTAACTCATGATCTGGCGATTCTAATGAAATAAGACACTTACTTCTATCTCTTGTTACAAAAAACAAGATAGGTTTACAAGGATGCTCACAAATACATGCTTTTAGTCTATTGGGCCTAATATAAACTACTTGATATTGGATTAAATAAATGCTGTCGTTGATTGCTTTGAAAAAGCATTTATCTAATCTTTCAATTGAGTTTTTTTCTGGATTGTTTTCATTAATAATCTATTTGATAGAATATCACTACTAAAAGAAATCCGAATAAAATCCAATATTCTTCTTATTAAAAGAAATTCAACTCATATCGAAAATTATTAGTCAGTTTAAAAAATGTTTTTGATGATGATGTTAAAAGTAAAAATGTATAATGATCAACATATGGTTTCCATAAATATTTACAACAACGATAATTATGCAATGTAAATACAGTAGAATTATAATCTGATGAATTTCAAGAGAAAAGTCTTTAGTTTTTTTTCATTAAGTAAATTATTAGAAATAAAAAAAAAACTACAGATATATTAAACAACAAAGTTATCATGATAAGTAAAGGTGCTAATATATTATCTTCAGTCTCCAATTAATATTATCTTTCTTCCGTACTATTTAAATGAATAAATACTTACGAGATTTTTAAAAAGATGAACACCATATGCTTAACGTTAAAAAAACATTTTATTATTCAATCCTTATGTTTTAAATATAAAAATTTTTCTTAGATTTATTTCCAATCTTTTTTACCAGAAGTGTATTTGTATTAAGTTTAGTCGAATCTTGAAAGATAGGTATTTGAATAGCACAAACACCAACATAAGATACTACGATTGCATTATAAATACTATTATTTGTATTTAACACCTAATTAGATTAATAAATACAATATATATTTAAATGTCAGAATATTTACTTTGACAGATACTTTGTGTAATTCTGCCCAATATATGTCTAATGAACCAGCTACAGGAAGATAATTAACTTTAATATCAGCAGACGATTAAGTTCTAACGAAAAATCTAAAGATATATTCTATTCTTTCAATCAAGAAGTTTCATATTATTCATCATGTCAGCAAAAAGAAAGTTGAGTTCTAATAGAATTGAAAAAGATAACATGTTGCAAAAAAAAAAATAATAATAATAATAGTAATAATAATATACAATCAAAATAACAACAAAATAAGAAAAATCTGACTAGAATAAAAATACTATTAGTTTGTATTTTCACCTTGTGGAAGATGTACATTCTCATAGATATGATCATTGATAAACCATCTTTCTATTTTCTTATATCGATTTGCTAAACGTTCATCAAAGTCTGGTATTATATATTGGTCGAATATCATAACAAAGCCCGCAAGAATTAATGAAAATTCAAGTATTTGTAAAGTCAATCGATCATTAATCCAATTTGTAACAGATAATATCAACGACGTAACAACCATAATTATGACAGGCATAATTGGTGGTCCATATAATCCATATGATGTATGCGAAAAGTATTACAGAAAATAATAAGGAATGAATCAACTTTTTATTCTGTTTACGAAGAGTAAGAGAGCGTGTATAAGTCACATCGTCGACTTTCTACGAAGTTGAAGGAAGATAATATTGATTTAAAGTAACACCATGTTAAGTAGCATTATAGTACTTTTTTTTTTCTACTTCCGACCCTGACAACGCCTCTCTTTAATCTCATGATTTTATGGGAATCAGGTATNATACACTTGTGCAGAGAATTAAATAGCACATCTTCCAAAATTAAATTCAAGATTTTACCTTTTATCTTAACTAAGCTACATGAAAAACACCAAATGTCGCAAAACTTTCGCCACCCTCGGCAATCCAATTCTCCACATCGATTATTATCACACGACGATCGAAATGATTCGCTATTAAAAAGTTTGACTGCACAGATCTAAGACAATAAAGGATCAATTAAACAATAAAATTAAATTAATGTAAGGAAACTATCAACCTATTCATCGAATCAACTCAAAATAGTGGTCTATAAACAAATGTTCATCAATTAATAAATTAGTCAACGAAGTCAAAATGATTTTCGATGGGAGATTTCTAATTTCAAATCTATTACATCAAAAACGGCTCCATCTTCCTTAATGAGAATTTAAACTCTTTCTGTTTTCTTTGCCTCCCTTTCTAATCAATTCTTGGAAAATTCAGTTTTTATACTTAATTTCGCTTTTCTTCCTTAAACATGTAATGTAAAATCCTGATGAGTGTTTTTATTTCAATAAATAACACGAAACGCGTCTGCCAATGAACTCTACATTTTTATTTATTATTTTATTAAGCATCTTATCTGTACTTGAAAATTATTTCGATTTGATCAACTGCTGAAAAGCAATAATTGAGATTGGCACATTCAGCTTGTGTTTTCTTTAAGCGATAGGTTGATCTTGTTTCAATTGAATTGAATTTCTTACTTTCTACATATTAAAAAATACTAGATAGGAATTATTACGAATTGAGTCATTACCTCTGTCTCAGTTCAAATTGAGTGGTTTTGGTTCTTTCATGTAATAATGCAGGGTGGGCCATAAGTAAGGTAACAAAGTATTTTTTGTTCGATTTCTTTGTTATGCATCATGAGTTGTGTCTCATATTTATACCACATATACTAGGTGAAATAAGTACAAGATGCAGCATATGAACAATATCCTGATGTACTAATTTATTCAAAAACGTACAAATACAGGATAACCAATAAAAGGAAACACGTCTGAGATCTAACAAAACTTTTATTAAAGCTATAGAACAAGAAAAGCATACTCGCAAAAATTGTTCAATATGCTCACGCTCGAAGTATTTGTAAAGTTGTAGTCTTCCAGGTAGTGATTGACAAGCTTTTCGATATAATTCAACTGGCAAGCTTCGTATAAAAACTATAACTATCACACATGATTAATTTAATTGGTTATTCTGTATTTGTCCGCTATTGAACAAATTAGTACACCAAGGTATTATTCGTATGCTGCATTTTTGACTTATGTCACCTAGCATATGTGGTATAAATATGAGCCCCAAATCATGATGTATAACAAAGAAATCGAAAAAACATACTTTGTGACTTTGCTTATGACCCACTCTGCAAATTCTAAACATGCCCAATGAGTCTATTCGGCAGGAACGAAACGTCGTGTGATCTCACGCAGCCAGATAAACGAGAAAAACGCTGTTTTGATGCGTCGAAGGTACGAATTAAAGAAAACAACGCTGCAAAACTCGTTGACTCGAAAAATTTTAGAAGCAAACGTGTGAGATGTTTTCTTTCTTATATTTAATGCGTTAAAACGGATTTAACGAAGATATTAGGTCAGTGAACGCGTTTCAACATATGTATTCTATAAATTAGAGAAATGAATTCATTTTAACAAAAAAATGCCATTCATTTAAATGCGTTAAAATAGAAAAAAATGATTTGAAAAATCAGCGGGCATTGAAATAAATTTCTAGCGAACAAAAATGAATAGGAAGTAAAGCAAGTGACTCTGAAATTTTTACGGATAAATCCTCCCAGTTCGATGGGAATACCCCAAAAAAATCAGAGTTACGAAACGGATTAAATTTAACATAAGTTCTGCTAGAATAGCAAGCATGTTGATCAACGATTTATAATGAATAAAGTCGATTAGTGATCGATGTCAGGATACATAGACAATATGTTTACATTAGTAAACATGATCATTTATCAACCAAGCATCTGCTAGGAGTGTTGATGTCATTATCAGGTTGCTATTGGGTGATACCTACACTCCCAACTAAGTATAGCTGTATGCATTTGAAATCGATATCAATAAGGGCAATTATAGAAATTATATATTGTAAACAGTTTGTAGCAATGAACTTGTTGAGTATCGATATTAGATTTTTATTTGGATTCGAATTCTGACTTCCTTGATAAAAACTTAGAAAAACTGATTTTTATTAATATTTGTGATTAAAAATCGATGAAAGGTACACTATTTCGATCAGCTTTCGAATTAAAAAATCGACTTTTTCATCGCTTTTCACGACTTCTCACTAACCGAGTAGTAAGTATACTGTTTAATCAACCTTCAACAAATATACAACGATTGAGGATTCGATACCATGTGATATTTATCTATTGACCAAAAGAGAAATAACAGAAGATAAAAATTAATAAGAATCGATTTTTAGAAATTGATTTGGATTTAAATAATATTTTGATGAAAATTGAATCACATTAGTACTATTGTAATTGATTTTTAATCATCAAAAACTATTAAAATCCACTACATAGCATTTTTTATTTAAATGGGGCAACTTCTACTATAAATAGCTGTGCAAGTGTTTGCACTGAAGGTTGGTTAATTATAAGTAGAAAATTTATATCTAGTAGCAATAAGTAAGTTTAATCTAGTACTATATCGGCTGCTTCGTCAGTATAAGTCTCTTTGATCGAAAACTATATTAAAGCATTAACAAACTAGCTGGAACGCCTCTCTGAAATCTAAGTATACGCTTAAACGACATCGATTTACTAGCGTCGGGTGTGCGTGTAAAGGTGTAGGTGTAGGGTGTGGCTGTGGGAGAGAAGAAGATACACCCAAGCCCACCCACACACCACCCACACCCACACCCCACCCACACCCACACCTACACCCATACCCACACTCACATCCACACCCACTCACACTCCACACCCACACATAGCACCCACATCACTCACACCCACCTCGAACTGGTCGTTATTGATGTCAAATAAACTAAAAGAGTGGAATAACAAAAAGCAAAGAAATTCTAAATATCTATTGGTAATCCATATTTTGGCACGTCATATAGAAGGACACATACAAAATAATGACGAATTTGTTTCGAAAAACTCTTACGCAATGACATCTGAAAATGAGATCATTATTGATCTTCTTTCAAAGATTGTGGGTCACGAGAAACTGCACTCACACCTACATCCACACCAAAAATAAGCTATTCTGATAATTGAAAGCAATGGCACTGATGTAATGAGCACAATTATGAATGACCATAGAATTTTGAAGGAAAAAAACTTGATTTTGTCTCATTTTATTTAAGTAATTTTAGACATAAACTTATCCTGTACTTGTATTTGAATTAACATAAATTACATCACTACTATCTAGATTGGTTTTAATAGTTTTACTGATTTCGAAATATTATGTTAATAATTGGACGAGTTCTACATCTTGATTCGAATCGCCGACGACAAATCGTTTGCTATTGAGAACAGCAATAGAGTTGCCAACATACGAGAGATCAATTATGTCCTTCTTTCCTCGTGCCATCAGCCTATGAATTATTGTTTGTCCAGTAGTTACAAAAAATCGCTTTATCCCATCGGTGCGAATCTGTACTAAATCGGTACATGTGCCCAAATCTTGTGATTTTATTGGTTCCATATCAAGGCTAAAGATATTAATTTGTACCACTTGACCATTATTCTGTGGACGTCTATTGATTGATGCAACACAATTATCTGTCGTCGCAAAACTAGTTCCACGTCGAAACCAATACAATATGGGTTCTCCAAACTTAATGGTACGCATATGTTGAAACTGAGTTGAGTAGATTTCAATCATATCCCCGCTATGCATTCCAGGATTAATCCATAACCATAGATGTTTGTTATTGGACGCAATACGTACATCCAACCAAATATTTCCTCGAATTACAGATATTATTTTGAATCTTTTATTGTTGTATTCAACACTATAAACCTCTTTGTCCGTAGCACAGATAAATTTGCTGATACTTTTCCAATAAATCATGTCGATAACGCGTGATTGATACCAAGCACGACAGGGATCCACTTCGTCACGGTCATCCAAGTAACAGTATGCAATTAAATGGGGAACTTGACAAATGCTTGTATACATAATGTTAGTTCCATCGCTGGCCATACAATCAACAGAGTACGAAGTTCGTACAAGACTATCTGGTGAACTATCCTCATGAGAAAACGAATTCTCATCTAGTTTTTCGTGTAAAACATTTTTCTGAATGTCTGGTTCCTGTTGATTAGTCTTCAATTCTTCTTTTAAAGATGATTCAATTTTATGCGTCACTTGTGCGGCTTCTCTTTCGGGTGCATTGCTTATCGTAACATTGATATTTCCAAAATTTAATTCATATTTGGGTATTGCTTGTGGAAGATCAATCTGTTTGTTAACTATTATCTTCTTCACCTCTTCCTCGATTCGATTAAGCTCTGTCACAATGCAATCAGTTTGCATTGGTTCGAAGATGGACTCTTTAAGAAGAACTTGGATCTCAAGGGAGATGAGTTGTAGTGCCGACGAGATATCTGATACACGACTCTGGCAGATCAAATACGAGAATTGAATCAAAATTAAGTTAAAAAGAAATTGAATATTACCTCTGCATCTGTTTTAATCCTGTTAATATGTTCGATGAATTTGTCCTTTGTTTCGAGTAAACGAGTGAACCATTGATGAATTTCAAAAATGGCATTTTTCGATTCATGATTGATCATTTGTTCTTTTGTCTGTAATAATTGTTTGATTTCATTGTGCCGTTGTGAAAGATGAGAGGCATTTTCGATTAGTTCTTCATTATGCTCTTTCATGCACATGAAGCATAACTGTAGCGAGCAATGTTTGCAATGACATAATGACGATCGCGTTCGATTATATTTACTAGTACATCGTTCACAAAGTTCGACACAAGAGCCAGTAGCCATAATTTGTATTTGATTTAGTCACAAATTTTAGATAAGAAAGCAAAGACTGACGCGTGCACGTCAGTGGAGTAATATCGATGAGTCATGAAGACATTTATTCGAAGAAACAAGATACAGGCTACACTGATACTGACTACCATGAAGTTGAAACAAACGGCCGGCTGGATTTTACTATAACTTTTCTAGATTAAACAAAACAATTATTGCATTAGACTATTCCATACCATTCTAGATTTGATTCATTTGGACTCTCATTGCAAAAATTATTTCTACAGTTGTCGCTAGTTGTCTATGTTTGTCATGACAAATTCCTCACATATGCTGAAGTGAACATGTTGCACAATGTTTTTGGGCATGTACACGAGAGTTGATGTGGGTGTATATGTGAATCAAAAAAACACCCGAATTCAGATCCAGACTCACATCCACACCCACCCACCCAACGACATCCTTTCCTTTTTTTGTCTCATAACAAACTGGTTACTTTCGTTTTAATTTTCAACAAAACACACAAAAATACTTAAAATTTCAATTCAAAATAGAATCGAAAAACTAAAATAACAGATTAAACTATTTAAGAAAAATGAAGTTTTCCTGTTTCTTTTTGCATATTTATCATTTATTATTCATTTACTAAACTTTTCTTCATCAAATTGTTAATGCGTATATTTTTCATTCAATCACACTCACAACTTCACTCCCCATCATTTTTTAACCTTCTTGGTGTAAAAAATCCCCTTTCTTCTGAGATACAACGAAATAATATCTAAATTTTGATGATGTTTAACAAACCTGTTCGACCTTTTTCGTTTTTTGACATTTTTGACTACTCATTAATTCTTGCAATATATCGAACAGAGAGAAAATATGTCGGGGCATATTGAGCATAGATACAAATCAAATAATAATGGGTTGAAAAATAGAATGTGATCTTCCTAGTTTACCACAACATAACATTCTTTCGTTTCACTTTTTTCAATGGCTGTAAGAAATGAACGATTTCTATATTCATCTGTGGGATTTTATTCATTTATTTAAATAACAATATGATATTTAAAAAAAAACAGACCAAAGAAAATACAAATACATATTACGGTTAAAGCCTTCCCTGGAAGGGATAGTGTAATCATGACTTGTGCTATCAAATATCAATAATATGGTGCAAAAGGTTGTCACTTTTCTTTCATTCCTATTATCAGCTTTTCGATATAAAATAATTACTAAATATCTCATATTTCTTTTCTCTTGTTTTACATCTTATAAATATTTTCAATTATTTTGTTTTTCATCAATCATCTTCTTATATTACTCCAACGTATAATGTTGGACTCAAGAATGATTTCTCTTGTCATCATAATTTCCATGGTACATTCAAGTTATGATTCATTTCCCGTTTTATATGCTACTCTAAAATCAATTTTTACTGCGGTATTATAGAGAAAATAATTACTCTCGTTTTCATAAACTACGATACAACATAATGACAGCCAGATGCATGAGGATTTTATTTGCTATTTTAAAAAGCATAACCTGAGATTTTCAAGGGCAAACTATGGCTTTAAGAGAACAGTAAAAAAACAGTTTCTTATATTGTGTTTTGTTCATGAGCTGCCTAATTCGAGTTCGAATATAAATGGAGACCTAAATATCTATTTCAGGTTCGAAAATAAATTTAAAAAAACGGCATCCGTGTCGAACCAACCCAAAAGAAATAGAAAAACTTTACACAACGATGCACCCTTGTTCACAAGCAGAAATAGAAATACAAATAGGTTTAGTTTATATAATTTATAAACTTAATGCCTGTCAGTGTTCGATTTATTTACTCCACGAGTCATTTTCAACTTCATCTTTCTTTATTACGAATTTTGAGAAAAAAATCAATAGCAACAAGAAGCGAGGACAAAAACAAAAAAAAAACAGACTCTCCTGCACAGACAAAAAGTATATTCTCCCTCTCGTCCATGTGTATTCTTCCATTCACTCCTCCCTCTCTCATATGTTATGACATACCGATGATGTATGTTTTCTTACAAAGAGATGGCTTGAGCACATGAATAGAGAAAGAGAAAAAAAGGCATCAAAGAATGTAAGGCATGATATCAAGAGAGAACAAAATATAGACCATACTAATAACTCAATCTGTATTATGGCCAATGGCCATGACAATGTCTCATCCCTGTTAAAAAGTAGAAATAAAAATAGAAATAGATTTGGTTTATATAATTTATAAATTCGACGGCATACTCATGTTAAAATAGCAACAAAGGAGGAGACAAAAATCTATATGAATGACGAATTACGAATTAGAAATGTATAAATTGGCAAACTGATACCGGAATAGGTAAAGTAACCAGAGCTCTCACTAAGAGCTTAATCTGAGATGCTGCCAAGAGAATATCATATGCTACAAGCCTCATTTAATATGCTGCAACCATTGCCAGCTATGCTACTAGCATAACCTGAGATGCTGCCAAAATCACGTACATTGGAAACAGCATCATCTGTGACTCTACTAGGTACACCTTCCATGATTATACCTTAACTCAGATGCCCTTGCCGTAACCTCTCCTGGTATTGATATCACCTGGCACGCTACTAATATCACCTGAGATGCCACAAAGAGTAGCAAGACAGTTATGAACAATTCCTTGCATCCTTGTAGCGTAACCTCATATGCCGTTGCTATCATATCAGATGCTACTAGCGTCGACTGAGATTCTGCGGACGTCACCTAGGATTCTATTGGACACGCGTCAGTTCTCGTTCGCATGCTATACTCACACGGTTAGCGCACAGCCGTCCAGAGCGCCGATATACTACGTCTACCTTTCCACATAATACAGACATGCGCCATCAATCTAATCCAACCGCCCGCCGATATAGCTACCACGTCTATATGTCCACACGCTACATACATGTGCCGTGAATCTTAACTCAGATCGAACCCACACCTTTATTTATGCCTCGGCGCATGGTGGCCCGCAGAACGCCGATATGCCGCGTCTATCTTAGCACATCCTATACACATCTGCCATTAATGTTAATTAAGGGCACAGAGATACCTTTATCTATACCTCCGCAGCTGGTGGCTCGTAGAGCACCAATATGCCACCTCTATCTCATATACGTCAAACTTCAAACTTGAATTCAAGTATTCAATTGTTGAATACTTCAAGTTCAACTATTCACTTGTTCGATTGGTAATTAAATCGAAAGAACTGGGACAATAGAAGACACACACGAATACACACGCAAACATTGACGCAACCGGTGTGGATGCCGAGTAATGAATCGAAGAACAGACACCATGCATAAACACACACTTCATGATCCCTGGTGTGGGTGCCACGAAGAGACTGGGAAAGAAGACGACTCATACATAAAAAGACACAGTTACACCCACATCCACAGCAACCCTATCAATATTGTATTCATGGCATGTGTTTCAAAAAATATAAAAGACTGCATTAAAAGGAAATGATTTATGAAGTATGATTTTCCTAATGTTTGATCGAGCTTAGAGTTTTCGCCGAGCATGGCATGGTCAGCAGTTGACAAGTCGGGTAAAGTGAGATCATCAAAATTCAGACCGTTTAATTGTGATTGGGATGAATTTCTGTGCATTAAATGTACGTGAATTATCCAGGAAGACTTGTTGAGACTTCATGATACTTCACAATATTGCGGGAGATCTCACTAGACTTTATGACAATTTAGGACCCTTCAAGGGACTTTAACAGACTTCAGAAAGCTTCGAAAGAGTTTTAAGACTTCTCGGTCCTTCACAACAGACCTGTTGGTTGATTTTCCGCTGCCGACATCCCGGTGGAATACTTGAATACTTCAAACAACTTTTCAATAATTGAATTCAAGCTTCAAGTTTGACGGTGCTGGTCTACCTTAGTACATTCTATACACATCTATCATCAATCTTAGCTAACGGCGCACACGCCTTTATTTGTGCCGCAGTGCGCGGTGGACCGCTGAGCGCCGATAGGCCACGTCTATCTTAGCATACCCTATGTACATCTGCTATCGGTCTTAACTAAGGGCGCACACACCTTTATTTATACCTCTGCGGGTGGTGGCCCGCAGGGGTGTGGGTGCGGGGTTGTGAGTTTGGGGCTGAGTGTGTGGTAGGGTGTGGGTGTTAGCAATAGTTTCATTTCTACCCACAACCACAGCCACATCCACACCCTAATTCTATTTCCATTTTTCAAGAGGAGTGAGCCTTGGAATTTATAAATTATATAAACAAAATCTATTTCTATTTCAATTTCTTCTTTTCAATGGGGATGAGCCATCGAATTGAAAAATTTATAAATTAGATGAAGTTCATTGTGTGCTTTGTTTTGTTTGTGTTAGAAGGTATAGGTAGCGCGGAAAATTTTTCTTTTTCTCTTTAAGTGTCAAAACATGAAAGTCGTTTTTTTTATTTATATTCGAACTCGAATTAGGTAGCTACTTGTTTTGTCCTTGTTTTCGTCTCTCTCTTCCATCCCACCGATTCTGCTTTGCCGATGTTTTTCG